GTCAATACACGGATTGGAAAATATCCGTTACAAATACGGATAATCTTACATTAATATTTACTATTAACAAATAAATTTGGTCCAAAAAATTAATCAATCAATCGATCATTTGACCAAATCCAAATCCAAATCCAAATCCGAAGCTGAAGCCGTAGCCGAAGCCGAGCCGAGCGAGCGACGACGACGACAGCGCGAGGCTTGCTTTTTTCTTAACTCTTTAAGAGCTACAAGAAGAACAATTATATATATACCCACCAAAAATCTTTTCCTCTTCCAATATGGGACAATGTCACATTGTCAAGAGGGGAAACTTAAAATTTTATTCAAAAATTTTATTTTTCCTCCATTTCCCATTCACTCTCATTTTAAGACTATTTCATCTTAAAAACAAAAAACCTCAACAATCCCCCACATGAATGGGGAATGGCTATATCACGGAAGTATGCATGGAAAAACTGTGTGATTTACAAGCAAGGATTAATCGCATCTGGATAAGTAGGTTTCCCTTTGAACTTTCCGTAGTAAACTTATGTCGGATATACTCGGTCAATCGGTAGATTTGATATCTTTGAACCGTCGATCTTTGGTGTATACCTAGACAACCATAAGTCACACAATCANAAATATATCAAAAAGACCTCATTGTGATGATTCACGGAGTACTTCAACACCGACTCTCAAGAAAAAATCATTTAAGAGGCTTTGCCTAGGCTTTTTCTCTTGGTGTCGAGTGAATTCTATTTCGGCAAGATCACAGAGTGTATGAAATGAAGCTGGAATAAGTACTAAAGCACTTTTTAAGATGCAAGAACTGAGATTTCTGGAGCTTGATAATGTGCAGCTTTCTGGCACCTATGAAGGATTTCCGATGAAATTAAGATGGATATGCTGGTATCGATCCCAATTAACTTCCTTTCCAAGTGGCTTTCCTCATGAAAATCTTGTAGTTCTTGAAATGAGTAACAGCAACCTGCATCAAACCTGGGATGGAGCAAAGGTTTGCTGACTTCCACTCATGTTTAATTTTGTGGCCGATTGTATTCTGGCAGACTTTTTGAAAATTTTTCTGCACTGACTCTCTACCTCTCTATCTATTATTCCTCAGTCTCTCCGATCATTGAAGATACTTGATCTTAGTCGCTCACGCCATCTCATGAAGACACCTGACTTCTCTGGACTGCCGAATCTAGAAAGAGTTATTCTTGAAGATTGCATAAGTTTGGTTAAGGTCCATGAGTCCATTGGAAGACTTCATAAACTTCTTGTTTTAAATCTGAGGGGATGCGAGAGCCTTAGGAAGCTTCCAAAGAAGATTAGGGAAATAAAATCCTTAGAAGAATTAACACTCTGTGGGTGCTCGAAGCTCGAGTTTTCCACGACAATGAGAAATCAAAAATTTTTGCAAGCACTTCCGCAGAATGTGACTAACAGAGATCAACTTGCCTCTAAGGGTGAAAAGCCAATATGCAGTGACTCTCTGCCTGCTAAATCGGTCTATTCAATCTTCTGGTCTTGGATGTCACCGTGGCCAAAGTCAGCACGTTCAATGTCAGAACTCTTTCAGATCACCTTACAAATTTTGGATATTTCACATTGCAATCTGACTGGCACTTTTATTCCCTATGATCTTTCTGTCTTGTCCTCCTTAAAATATCTGAATTTAAGAGGAGATCCCATTACTACCCTGCCAGAGAGCCTGAAGAGCCTAACTGTGCTGCAGTCCCTTCAGTTAGCTGACTGCACAAAGCTCCAGTGGATACCGGAACTTCCATTTAGTTTACAATTATTGAATGCACGTAACTGCATATCACTGAATAGAGTAACAAATCTACCCAACTTCATGAGGTTACTTGACTCGCACCTAGAGAATTGTGGAAACCTGGTTGAGGTTCAGGGAGTATTCAAGCTAGATCCTATTGAAGACATTGATGATATTGTTGATCTATCTTGCCTAGATAATTTGGAGGTCAGAGCAGTAGATGTGGAACTTTGCAACTATCTGACCTCAACGAAAAGCAAAGGTCCCGTTCAGGGACTGTATGAATTTGGTATACACAGCATTTTCATTCCTGGAGGCAAGGTTCCTACCAAGTTCAATAATATAAGCACAGGGAGCTCATTAGCTTTCTCTGTGCCTCAACTTCCTAACGTCAAGATACAAGGATTAGAGATATGCATTGCGTATGCAGAATGTTATGACGAATGTTTTAACGTAAGGCACTTCATAAAAGTGAGCAATAAGACCAAGGGGATCAAATGGATTTATGGTCCAACAGTTTATGGGATTGCAGCTCCTGGTAATCCAATGCTATGGTTAAGTCGTTGGAAGTTTGGAGATCAGCTAGAAAGAGGAGATCAAGTTGTTGTTTCGTTAAGCATGAGTTGCTTGGTTAGGGAATTTGGTGCCCATCTTGTATGCAGTGAACAAAGGGAGGAAGATACCCTATCTGAGAATGCAAAGGAGGGATGTCGTCGTCCCTGCTATCCACTTGAGCATGCAATTGGAGGAGATTTGTCTCTTTATGAGCTAAGCTTAGGCGTCTATCACCTCTCCATTTATTCTTGAATCCTGATTGCAGAAAGTTTAGGTTCCCAATTCATTCAAGATGTCAACTTTACTTTCACCCATCAGCGCAGATGCAGGGATCATCAATCTTTGGGGTTGAAGTTAAATAAGCAGACATTGGGTCCACAAAAGGCAGTTTCTAATCTGTGGTTAAATGGAGAAAGGGGAGTGTAGATTTTCCATTCACTTACAAAGTTATCTAAGCTATTATTTGGTGTTATGATCCAGTTTTGTACTTATATTTCACAGCAGTATGGTGGCTTATGTGACACTGTTCTGGCCCTGAAGTCTGATATACTGAATAGATCAACAATAAGAATGAACTTTCCTACCCACAACCCACGTGTAAATGACATTAGGTAGCCATATTTTAAGCATGTTGTTTAAAACATATCTACAGTTTACAACGTATTTAAAGATTAGCCAATTTCGCTCAAATTTCAGGACACGACGTCCTAGAGTTTAAACCTCAAAGTTTAAACTTCAGGCCTAAAGTACGAAAATTATATCCAAAAGTTCGAATCTTATGTCCTGAATTTTAGATTAGTAGTTTAGAAATTCAGGACATTTAGTCTTGAATTTCAAATTAGTAGCTCAACAATTCAGAACACTAAGTTCTGAATTTTCAAATTCAACTTAGTCTGAAGTTTGGGTGAATTGACTAATGTTTAAAATATATTATAAATTATAAATATATTTTAAATAGTAGGCTTAAAAGTGGCTAATGCTGTACTTCCCCCACAACCACCACCATAACCAAAACTACCGTCAAACACCACCCACAACCACCACCGACTATCATAAAAAAATATTTTATTGATATAGTATTATATTAATTAGTATTTTAATCTAAAATTTCTATTTATTAATTTTTAAATAAAGATAAGTTATTAAATTTTATACTTCCAAATATTGAAAAAACAAACAATCTTGATTATTTATTTAGATATTAATTTTAATGCACATCTGAATATAACAGTATTTAACCTAACAGGAATTGCTCTAATCCGCTCCCGGAAAATATTGCCTTCAAATCCTACTTCTAGTGTAAAACGTAATAAAAATCACAGTATAAAACCTAACAGGAATTGCGGTAGCAAGCTAAATCAGCAGTAATTAATGGCGCTCGATATTCCAAGAAGGCTCAAAATTATCATTATCATTCATATACTCATAGTTTCTTCAATAGTACTATTTATCACTTTCATCAGCGGCACAGACGACGAGGATGATAAGCTATCACTTACAGGGTTTTGTGTGAAGCACTATTTTGGTCCGAATCCGAAGCGGCCCTTGAAACAAAGGAGTGCTTATAATGCAATTCTCTGCAAAGACTTGTTTCGTCGTCTTACCAGGCTTCTTTGTATTACCGGAGAATTTGATCCTTCATACGTCAGAGCTCTCAGAAAATTTGTTCCTAAATTCAAGGACAATGAAGATGCCCTCAACAAATTCCTTAGCAACATAACTCGATGTCCGCCCTTTTATCCGTGAATATGGAAGAAGTTCAAGACTTGCAAAGGCTTTAGGATTTTACGCAGTTCAATTTGATTTTTTGTGTAAGAGCTCGAAACTATATATGGCTAGAAATTCTTTCATGTTTTTAGAATTTGATGATTTTCTTACTACAGTTTTTAGGTGTATTTATGCAACAAGCAGATCAGCATAATTAGCAGTTAGCTTTGGTTTTGAAATAGTTATCAAGTCAGGTTCACTTATGATACAAATTAGACCGCACCCCTCCCTTGACGATGTTTTGTTTTGTTCATAAGCAGATTTAACTCGAATCTTATTCTCCAAAATTCTGCAAAATTTAAATTTGTGGTGATGATATCTACCTGTAAGGCCAATGTTTTTCAGAAATTTATATTTTATTTTTATGGTATTGGCTTGGAGTATTGAATTTCCCAATTCAGACCATAAGATAGGTGGTTATTATATAGTAGCATTAGATGCTTTATGCAGAAAATCAAATTGTCTGTCTGGAAAAAATAGTGGTCGGTGCAACTGATGAGTCCAAGCTGCAGAATCCTGAATAAACTAATCAAGAAGGATTAGTTAATTAAGCAGTAGACCCCTTTTATCTTATTTTGATAATCAAACAACATAGACTCCTAGACCATCTTTGATTAATTTAATTCTTTATCTGTGACGGAGGCAGAAGTAAGTGAACGATGAGTCAGATTTTGGACTCATGTTCAATGATCTAAGGCTGAGGATTTCACTCCTAATTAAATAAATAATAAGCATATTAATTTATTAGCAGATAAAGGAACTAGCCTAATTAGCTTTCTCTAGTCTGCATTTTCTTGTTGTTATTTCATACATTGGTTTGTAAAGCATTGTCTAATTATATAACCATTGAATCCTTATTCAGAGAATTGGTCAACTTGATCTGATGGTTTATGAAAAACCACAAACATCGTCCTCTTTTGTTTCTCCATGCATTTATCATGTTTTCTTGAGTTTCAGAGGCGAAGACACCCGCAAAACTTTTACTGATCGTCTTTATGCTGCTTTGGTAGGTGCAGGGTGGCGCACGTTTAAGGATGACAATGAGATTGAGAGAGGGGAAAATATTAAGACAGAATTAGAGCATGTAATCGTACACTCGAGGAGTTCAATAATTATCCTCTCGGAGAACTATGCTACTTCCACATGGTGCCTTGATGAACTTGTGAAAATCCTTCAACATAAGAGGACCAAAGGGCATGCAGTTTTTCCTGTCTTCTATCATGTGGATCCCTCTGAAGTTAAAGATCAGACAAAGAGCTTTGCAGAAGCATTTAGAAGATATGAGCAGCAAATTGAAGCTGAAAGTGATGAAGGAAAGAGGGAGTGGATGGATAAGGTTCAAAAATGGAGAGCAGCTCTTGGAGAGGTTGCAGATTTGGGTGGTGTTCTAGTGAACAATCAAGAAGATGGGTAAGTTTTTCCCATAACCAGTAAATTCTTTGTGCTGCAACGTAGTCAAGAATTGATTGAGATTCAGTTTTCAAGTAACCTTTTTGAATTGTTCCTCCTTGCATATGCTATTTGAGGTGCATTTTCTTGAGGATCTTTTTTATAACCTTTTTATTAGGAAATTTAAAAATAATAATAGTGAAGCTAAAGCTATTTAAGGAAAAAAAGAAAAGGGAGAGAGTAAAATTGAACAATGGGCTCTTTCTTCGCACATTAATGTCTGGGAAATTTAAATCTACGTGAAGTCCCAAATATTAGTGACGTGTGGGTTGAGCATTTAAAGCTTAGGATCCTTTGGTACAAGCTAGTCCGCACATCAAAGCACTTGTATGGTACAAGCTGATTTCATTAAAAAGGAAATGGAGTTAGAGGTTAAAGTATTTATATGAATAGGTTGGCATCGATGGAATTTCGTGCCAGACTAGCTGATTTTCTCTTTCTCTTGCTTTTTCACTTTCTGTTTTTGTGCAAGAGAAATGGTCATATAATCTTGATACTTCAGATTCAACAAATTGTTTGCTGATTGCACAGTTGTGACTTCGCTTACTTGTATACAAAAGCCTCTGTGAGTTGGTTAATTCAGATGTGACACTATGCCAATAAATTTGCTTCTTAACAATTGATTAGGAAGGAGTCAAAGTTCATTGAAGAGATTCTTCAACTCATTGAGGAGAAATTGAACCGCACAATCTCTAGTGTTGCGCCTTACCTGGTTGGGATCAGTTCGCGGGTCAAAAATATATTGTCATGGTTGCGGAATGGATCAAATGATGATAACATCATTGCAATTTGTGGGATGAGTGGAATTGGGAAGACAACTGTTGCCAAGTATATTTTTACTACGAACTTTGAAAGATTTGAAGGTAGTAGCTTTCTTGCAAATATAAGAGATATTTCTCAGCAACCTGATGGCTTAATTCGCTTACAGAAACAGCTCCTTTATGATCTTACTGGGAAAAAGAATAAAATACAGGATATTGATGAAGGGATCATCAAGATAAGAGATGCTATATGTTTTAGGAGAGTTCTAGTCATCTTAGATGACGTTGATCAACAAGAAGAGCTACACGCTATAATTGGAATGAAAAATTGGTTGTGTCCAGGAAGTAAAATAATCGTCACAACTAAGAATTCAAATTTGCTCCAGGTTCATGGAATTCAAAAAGTCCATGAAGTCAAGGAAATGGGTAATGATGAATCATTGGAGCTTTTCAGTTGGCATTCTTTGGGGAGGACCATCCAGCTGATGGGTACATGGAACTATCGACCAGGGTGGTAAAGCATTGTGGAGGGCTTCCACTGGCACTTCAAGTTTTGGGTTCTTCTCTTCGTGGAAAGAATATTCATGTATGGAAAAGTGCACTAGACAAGTTGGAAGTGATTCCTGCAAGCCAGATAATTAAAAAACTAAAATTGGGGTTTGATTCGTTAAAAGATGACCATGATAAGAATTTATTCCTTGACATGGCCTGCTTCTTTACAAGGATAAAGATTATGTTATTGCAGTACTTGACGAATCTTATACTTACACAAAAGTTGGGATTCAGAATCTCGCAGATAGACTCTTGTTGACAATTGAGGGTAACAAGTTGATAATGCATCAAATGCTTCGGGACATGGGCTGAGAAATAGTCCGTCAAGAATCACCCAAGAAGTCTGGGAGACGTACCCGGTTGTGGCACTACAAGGATTCATTTAATGTATTGAGAGATGACATGGTAAGCATTTTCTTTCTCATGTATATAATTCCTTTTCCTTCGGATACTGCTAAGCCCTTTGTAAATAATTATTTTCAGGGGTCAGAGACAATTGAAGGTCTTTTCCTTGACATGAATATGGTAAAGGAAGATCAATCCTTCATGGGAAGTTCTAGCAGTGGAAGAAAGTCGCCGTTTACAGAAGTTAAGAGTTATCGGTTCGGTTTCTCCAGGAATCTCATCAAGTTTCCTGCAAGAACCTTAAATGTGATTGAATTGGGAACAAATATCTTTACAGTTATGAACAAGCTTAGACTGCTTCAGATCAGTTATACACAT